GTTCTGCGGCTAGCTCCGCTGTCCTTCCCTTGAGGTGACCCGCCCCGTTCGATCACACATCTCCCGTATTGAGGGTCACCTATTTTGTATATACCGCTTCTACATCAGTGGCTCTAGATCCGAGTGCCGCTGAACCCTATCAAGTCACCACACATGGTCACCTAGACCCCCAGATATTATGCTGTGGTATCTTCTTTACCCGCTGAGAGGGTGTGTGCTGCTGCTTTACTAGTTACTACCCATCCGCTCATATCCCCAGCACTAACTTAGCTATTACAGCACGACCGAGGCCCCTGTGTTGGCGCCCAGTCACCCTCTCCGAAGACTCTTCACGCAATATGGAACCTGGGTCGCCCGTCATGTCAAGACCGTCTTGCCCTTGTCCGGCGCCGTGGTCTTCATATTCCTCTATCTTGTACCCTTTCTGTATACCGTCGACTCCGCCAACATTACGAATGGCGCCTCACCCCTCCCGCATCATGTCTGGACCGATGCCCGGCCCCTAAGGGATGGCAGCCATGTCGAGCCCGATGTTGTGATGCGCTCGATCTGGGTACATGGCAGTTCCATGAAAGCTCTTGACCGCAATGTCTTGCTCGGCGCCCTCGAGCTACAAGACGCCATCCTCGGCCCGACGACCAACTTTAACCCCCCGCCAACCGCACGGCACTCCGCCGCTGCCCAGCCCGGATACTGAACTTGACGTGACGTGACCTGGACCGCCAGCAACGAGACGCCTTCCACATCAGCAACGGCCTGACCAACCAATCGTGGTTCTTCCACTCCCCGTTGCAGTACTGGTCAAGCTCTGCCGAAAACATCGCGTCAGACCAGGACCTTATCTCTACCGTCAACGAAAAGAAGACGCAGTCGACTTTTGTCAATACGACTCTGCGGCACTCGATCGTGTTCAGCGGCAAGCGGTTTCAGGAACGCCAGATAGTGGCTGCCGATGCGCTCGTCATCACCCTGATCCACAAGCTCCGGTCTCCGGTGGGCAGGCAATGGGTCAAAAGGCTCGAAGCCCTGGCACAGGGCGCGAAACAGGACAGCAAGTGGCAGATCATCCCACCCGACGGCAGAAGCATCGGGAACCAACTGTATCAGTTCCAGTTTCAGCCAATGACATGGTATGACTGGGCCATGTTGGTACCCGCCTACGGCATCCCCATCTACTACCTGTTGTACCGCCTGTCCAAACTGCGCGCCGTCAAGTCGAGGGTCGGCCTGATGGTCACCATGCTGGCACAGATCACAGCTTCCATCGTCTCCAGTTTCACCGTCTGCGCGATCTTCAAGGTTGATCTTTCGCACGTCCCTCTGCAGACCTATCCGTTCGTTATTCTTGCCATCAGCATGGAGAACTCATTCCGCTTGATAAACGCTGTTATTATGACGTCTTCTGCCATCAGCATCAGCGATAGGATCGGGGAAGCCTTTGGTACTACCGCTCACATTGCCATCGCCAGCCCCATTCAGAACTCGCTCATTCTCTACGGTCTGTCCAAGACCGGTTCGCTAGGTGTCTCGAGCTTCTGTGCCTTTGCCACCATTGCGACCTTTTTCGACTTCTTCTACCTTGCCACTTTCTTCCTCGCCGTTCTTAGCGTCGATGTACGCCAAAGAGAGCTCTGTGAGCTCGAGAAGGCTTCGCTAAAACGGGCCAAGACCTCCCAGGGCGGGTTACCCAAGCAACCTTGGATCAGGGGTATCTACCCATTTCGCCTGACCGATACGGCCATCTCGACGAGGATCGCAGGATCCATTGTCTTGATAGGTTTTGTTCTCATCGCACAGGCCCATTACACCTCCGAAGGCAGCCATCAATGGCTGAACCAGCTTTCCGGCTTGTCCTGGAGGGATGCTGGGAGCACCCCCAAATCGTCACTGCTGATCGATATCCATCAGGTCAGGAGCGCGACCTCCTGGCTCCGCATGCAGGACCACGAGACGGCGCGGGAGGTCATCAAGGCCATAAAGCCGTGGGCGCACAGCTACGTGGCCCGCGTCTACGACCCCGTCATATTTGTGCTGAGGGGGGCTGACCGCACCCCGGACACGAAAGATTCGACATTTTTGCCTGCTGTTTACGACTTCCTTCACCACCAAATCCCGCTGTTTATCGCCTCACTATTGACGATGCTGGCGGCGCTGCGTCTGTTCACGAATCATCTTATTAAGGACCAATTCAAGGATGACGCTGGATCCGACCACCCGGATGACGAGCCATTGCTGTCAGTCCGGTCGCTGACCAAAGGGCACACGCTAGACGTTGTCATGCTGGCCGCATCACTGGGGGCAAGCTAGTTTCCGTTGGGCTCGATCGCGCCATCCAGGTTTGGGATGTGCCGACGGGTTCAAGGAACCTGGTTCAATCCGACCCCGAGGCGCCACTGGACAGTCCGTTCCCCGTATTGAACGTAGCGCTCGACGACAGGTCGAAGTGGTTGGCGTTGGTATCGTGGCAGAGGGTGTTTATTTGGAATATGGCGGAGAAGCAGTGGGCGGATGTTAGAGATGTTGATTTAGGCGGTCACAGACCCGAGGCCGCGTTCTTCGTGGCGAAATCCCCAGATGCAGCACCGTCCCTGGTTCTGGTGAGAAGAAATGGTATCGGTCTCGAAGTGCCAATGGCGGCTGAGAGTCCCCGAGACTTTTTGATCTGCAAGACGCCGTTGGTCTGGGCGGTATCCTTTACTGAGAAGTGTAAGTTCAAACGCCCCGCCGGAAATTCCCCTCTCTGATGGTTTCCAGCGAACAACCCCAAACAGCAAATACTCCCTGTTGCCATCCTTACCGTCTCGCGTAAGAGTTGTGTTCACCTCGTCAGGCAGCAGGGCAGTGAGTGGGTGTCGACCGAAGTAAAGCTGGAAGGTAGTACAGGGACAAGGAACATCCATTCCCTGCTTCCCATTCCTGCACTATCCAAATACCTGATCGGCCGGCCCCAATCCGTCGATCTAGTCGACCTTGACTCGTCAACAGTCATCCACACCTTAACACACAGAGATGATGCTGCCGCGGACGCTGAAACAAATCTACCTCACACCAGCGCAACAACCGGGACTCGCATCCCTTACGCTAGCATACACCAGCGCCGAGAGTGGCGACCTCGTCGTTGATACGTATCTTCCCGATCTAGAAACCGACATAATACCCCCCTTTAGCCCAGTTGAATCGGGCTCGCACAACCCATGGAGCCAAACAAGGAAAGTTACTAGACACATCACAAACCCAGGTGCGTGGGAAGCACTCCCTTCCGGAAGTATCGTCGGCGTCCACAAGAAACGAACCACACCCCTGCCCACAATAAACACACCATCCTCCATCACCTCGTTGCGCAGCAGACGAACCGTCGGTCGCTCCAACTCAGATAACCCACAACATACAAACACACCCCCAGAAACACACACCCAGTCTCGATCCTGGGAATCCTGGGTCCTCAACCTCCGCCCGGACGCCAAATCCGACTTCGAGACCCACCCCCTCAACGACGACGCCGACACGAGCAGCCCGCATCTGATGATCTCCGAACTCGGCCCCATGACGCGGCTAGGCACAATGAGTGTCGCCGTCGGGCTGGGGGACGTCGTGAAGGTGGTCAGCGCTGGGCACGAGTATTTCGATCACGGGCGGGTTGGGTCGTTGGTCGAGATTGCGCATTGGCGGGGGTTTTCGGTTGAGCCTGGGGGGGCGAGTGGCTGCAGTTACAGCAGTTTTATGGTTTTGGGGCGGAGGAGGAAGAAGGGAAGTGGTGCTGGGTTGGGGAGGGGTGGTAGTGGGGAGAGGAGGGAGAGTGCGAATGCAAATGCGAACGGGAACGGGAATCCTGGGTGAGTTATGGTATGGGGGGTGGTGGGTGGGAGTTTTAGATGGGGTGGTCAGGATTCATGAACGTTTGGGTTTGTATTGAGTATTAGGGAATTGAAATGATTGAATATATGACTGAATTCAATTTGGCTTTGGTGCCAACGGTCAGGTTAGAGCCGGTAGGCACAACGACAAGGAACCACGAGCTTCGAACAAGAACGAAAATGTGAATCTAGGTTCAGATTGTGCCTTGATCTTTTCGCGGTCCAAATTACTTTCTAATCGAGGAGAGCTGGTTCTTACTATATATAACTACATATATGGGCATAATTACGGTAGCCTACTCCAACGCCGTTCCCAGCTATACTACCTGCCCCATGACCCTAACCCAGCCTTATGAGCCATAACCACTCGCTTTACCAACGCGTTGAAGATGTTTTCAAGCAAATAACAACCTTTTCCGCGAGCAATGCTAATTGTTATACGGTAGCCGGGTACCCCGGCTCTCAGCTTCCAGTCGCAGTGAGGTCGACTCCCCACTCCTCGTTCTTGACCTGCTCAACGAGCGCAGCAAACCTGACACGTGAGCTTTCCGGATATTGCACTATAACCTGATGGCTAGTCGTGTCTGTTAATGTGTGTAGAAGCGGGCCTACTACCAAAGCCAAGATGCTCAACGCGACCGCGCGGCCAGGCATCCCCCCCAGGGTCCGGATCAATTACACTCCCATCAATGTCACCAGCCCGTTGCAGTGTAATTGCACCTTACGTAAGCGAAGCCACATTGAATTGATCCACGGAAGGCACTCGTTGAAATGGATGCAACATGTTGAAATTGGTGGGGCCGAACTGTGGGCCCCGTTGTGGGGCAATAACCTAACCCAAAATGGGAGAAGTGGGTCCAAATTTCCATACAAATCCCTAACCCTAGCTATCATCAATCATCTTCCATGTGTCCGTGTGTCTTCCATGACAGTATTGGATCGAGATCATCAATCACGCCGGCATCGTACCAGCTGCGGAGGATCTGACAGAGAGATATTGTGTTCGCCTGTAGCCGGTTGCGTAAAGGAGTAACCATATGGCCAGTAACGCTGAACAAGCGCTCAACTTCGGCGCTCATAGGAAGCACCGTGTGTAGATCCAACGCCATGCGCGCAAGCCGTGGGTAGGTGTTCCTTCTCTTGTGCCAGTAGGCACGGGGATCCTCCTCGTACCAATCAAAGTCGCTATTATCTAGTTGCCAACGCTCAAACTCGTCAAGTTCGACCAGCGCTGGCGATGGAAAGGGTGAAGGAGAGGTGGGTGCTGAGTTTGTTGGAGTTCGCTCCTGGGTTCTGAAGATTGCGAACCTGTTGCTCGAGAGGCGGGGGATTTTCGTGGGTGGTTCTGAAGCCTCTTTCTGCTCGACTGGTAGGTCTCGGTATTGTTGCCTCCAGAGTTCTCGGACTTGTAACTTCGCTGGCTCGATCCAGTCAGCGTGATGCTCACGCCACGCCTCGAACCTACCCCATCGGTGCCGAGGGTGCAATGCGGTGGCAGCGTAGATGAGAGGAGACTGGCCGATCTTCTCGTAGTATTTGTCGAGCTTCATCCATGCGTTGTTGACGTTAATAGCGACGTGTTCGCCGTCAACGAGGTCTTCAACTCTCGCCTTCGCTCTCTCGAGAGACTCAAGGAGGAACTCGTACCCATCGAGAAGATCCCAGCTTGCTCCCTGTACTAGACTGATCGGCTCATCGCAGGAGCTGCGCTTCTTCTCACGAGGTTGACCGTCGCCCTGAAGAGCTTTCACAACGAGCTCAAAGTCGAGAAGGATCTCTTTCAACACAGAGATGACCTCCCAGTCGTTCGCGGTCAACTTGTTCTCCTCATTTAAGAAGAGCGGCTCCTTCGCGCCTTTCTTTAGAGTGCCTGCTGTCGTCCGGAACTGCGAGTCAACGTGAAGCTTCGCCTCAAAGAGGAAGGTCTCGTAGAAAGGCTGGAGTTGAAGAGCGCGTTCCATCATGAAGTACTGAGAGAGCCCACCGCGTAGCGTTGTCTGTCACCCACTCCCGACCGGGCGTGTGTTTTCTTGATCTTTCTCACCTTCGGAGGCTTCTCGGGATCCGTTTGCTCTTTGCGCCGAGATGAGCTTCTTGGTCCAGAGGTCTGACCTGTTGACCTCCCTTCTCACGGTCAGTGATAGGTAGGTTGACAAGGCGAGATGCACATACCTGACAGAAAGTTATGAAGCTTACCAATGGGGCCTTTCCTCCTCCATTGCTCATGCTCATGTTGAGTAGTGAGTAGGCTAGTAGAGACTTCTCGCTCAAAGGCATCACATTCTACACCAAAGAGTAGTGCTCTAACTACTAGGTTGATGATGTGGCCGAAGCATCGAACTCTCCTCTCTTTCCACTGGAAGCCGAGCTTCTCACCGATTATTTTCAACGCGGCGTCGTTATTTGTAGCGTTGTCGACAGTGAAGTAGCCAATCTTCTTTTCAATACCATAGTTTCTAATAACATCGAGGATGGCCTCCGCGATGTTCTCACCCGTATGCCGGTCACTCATCTCTGGCAGACCGAGCACAATCTTGTGAGGCGTGCGTGCCCTCTTCGTCTCGGAAGACTGCGCTCACGCCGTAGAGAGAGAGGCGGTTGCGTGAAGTCCATCCATCGAAGACTAGATGAACCAGCCCGGGGCTCTCCTGGAGCGTCTTAACCACCGCATCCTTATGCCGCTCAACCTCTCGTACAGCGAGGGCGTGAACAGTCTTCTCGGAGAGGTTGGCTTTTTGAATGTCGACAGAGGGGTTGAGGTAGGAGAAGACATCGCGAAGATAAGGGTGTTCAGCTGTGCGGAAAGGAAGATTGGCGCTGATGAGCCATCTTACAATCCTTCGTTGAAACTCAGCTCTATCGAACGCGCTGATCAAGTGGTTGGCCATCCTCTGATCTTCGGCGTTGTTCGCATTGAGATTGAAGAAGGTGGCGATGGATCTCGAATTGCTGCTCTCGCGTTGGGGCTTGACCGGCAGAAGGCGGCGGTCGCTTACCGGTAGGATCGCTAAGCTGGTGAGAGTTAAAGAGATGAATCTCGACGTTCACAAGATTTCGTGGGTTATAGGCGGCTGGCTTCCGGTTGCGTTGTTGGATACATCGAAGGCATACCCATACACGGTCTTTGCCGTCGCGTGAAATATCATACCCGAATTTCCATACCCACGACCACGCTGGCCCCTTGCGTTCAGTGAATAGGTAGCCGGGAAATCGCTTGAAGAGAAAGGCCAGGTCTTCTTCAGTACGTGTAGGAACCGCGGCGACGGCAGCAGATGCTTCTGTAGCCATTATGGTGGCAGGTAGGCCAGAATGCCGAGCTCGTCAGAGCTTGAGCTGCGAATTGACTGGGATTAGGGCGGTGGGAGTTCTGCCGATGCCCTGACCGCTTCATGTTAGTGTTCACCATACAAATTACTATTAATCACTATCACCTGCTAAGAAGGACCCACTATTCTGCAATGTCTGCAATAATGGATCCACGTTGCAGAGGGCCAGGTTGAATTGCAGGGGTTTTGGAAGCCTTTCAGTTGCATTGATTTATGTGGGGCGTTGCAGCTGCAATTCAACTGCAATGTGTATTTCCGTGTAATTGCTCCGGACCCTGATCCCCCCTGGTAGAACCCAATCAACGGCCCAGCCACGCAAGTCGATCATTGACCGAACCGCTGCGCTGACACCGTCAAAACTCACCCCGGAGAATTCGGGCAGATTACGGGTTGGATCATCTCTCGGCAGCCATCTCTCGCCTTCTAGGGTCAGGTAGCCGAATGAAAGCGAGGAGGTCAACGTCCGTATGTCTTGAGGCAAGGACCTAGGCGCCGCCGTCATCTGCAAGTAAGTCTGCCGCTGCTGCTCTATCTCTCTTGACACCATGTCTCTGACTCTGGATAAGGCTTCTAGTCGTTTCTGATCGAGGGATCCTGAGAGTAGGCCGGGGTCAGCCAAGCGTCCGCAGAACGAAACATAGATGGGTTTAACATACTAAGAACGGTGTCCGGTAGCTCGATGCCAAACCTACTTCCCGGGCCGGCTTGCCAGCAATGTGAGATTGGGTTCCGGGCTTGCCGTTGTACGATTGACGAGAGCACCCTGAACTCCTTTACCATCTGTAGTTTCCACATTACCCAAAGCCACACCAGTGCATCGCCGCTACCGTCGTTGTCGTCGTCGTCGTTGTTATTGTTGTTGTTGGCGTCGAAAGAACTAGGCGGTTTGAACAAAGACACCCAACGCAGCGCTTGCTCAAAGGGGTTTCTCTGGCATTTGCCATCCGCGCTTGTGAGCCAGGGCCAGGAACTGAACGAATGTATTCCACCCGATCTCGTCCGGGATCTGGGCCGCTTTGTCGTGTATCACTTCATGCAGCAGTTGGCATGCGTATTCATCGTCGTCAGATTCGCCCGGAGGTCTAAATCGGCTGGATTTGGATCCTGGAGGTACTTCCCCGGCTTGTCTCTGCACG